CCTTTGGGTGTCAGGATTGTCCGGGCGACCCCCCCCCCCGCCGCTTCTTGATACTGTGGATGGACGGAATACACGTCACCTAAGAAACCCTGGAATTGTCATCATCCCCCGCAAATACCAACAAACGGTATCACTCGCTGGGCAGAGGTGCGGCTCATCGAGGGCATTTCTCAAAGAGGCCCCCTTCAAACTTCAAACCGCCTGGCTTCCTTCTGGCTTCTCGTGGCAAAACGGGCACCCTGGAAAAGACCTGCCGATTTCAACGTGTGGCCCAGCACCAAGTTGCCTTTTTCCGGCAGACGTTGCGACTCACAAAAGGGGGGGTCCCTGTAACTATTCCATACTATTCCCAACGAATTCTTCAACCATACTCCCTCTAACTATTCCATCTTCTTCTTATAAAAGCCTCGAAAAAAGACATATACCTCCGTTGATACCTCCAGTAGTGATAGACTTGCTGGTGCGATAAGTAGGGAATGAGGGAATGAACCCAGACTTTGGTCCCCTTAAAGGAAACCGCCAGTTGTTGATGTTTTACAACGGTCATTCCAACTCAGCAGATTCCTTTTGACACCGACAGGGAAACATAAGACTTCTTAAACAACCGGGCAAGCCCGGTTTCTGGTGTTCTTAGGTGCGGCACGAGGCGATTGATGCCCGGCACCATACCCTCTGTGATCTGGATGCAGCTGCTCATACCTCACCGAATAAGAGGGCCGTGTCCATATTCCTGGGTCTTGTTAGGTGTGCTTTTGGGAGCGATCCCCCAAAATGGTTGGTTTTCCTCGCATGAAACTTGGACCAACCAGAGAGGAGGTCGCATTTGGGAGATTCTGGTCATCCCATGCACAGCACCCATGTTTCAAATGGTTGCAAAATGCCTGTTTAATAACAATAATAATAATAACAATAATAAAAGATGACGGGACCTGCGCCCGACTCGTTTTGCTCCAAATCCCCAACTCGATCAGCTCGCGCAACGATTCGCCTGCAAAGTCGTCGCCTGGCGCGTGCCGACCTACCTCAGACCTGGAACCAGCCGCGTGAGGTGTCTCTTACGGCGCCCGAAAAATGGCTAGGCTCCCTGAATGCGCCCAGAACTTGGGTTGTTTCCTTTGGTTGTAGCAGCTAGGCCCCAAAAATAGGCTAGGTGTCCTTTGGTAGGAGCGCGTAATCCACCCACTTTAAAGCGAAGGCAGCAGCAAAACACTTGAAGCAACCGAAAATGAAAGCATGATAATTTGGGCGCCCATGGTTTGGCACGCCGCGGGCAGCGTATTTGGGGTTCGCAAGAGGCTCGGTTGTCAGCACGAAAAGGGGTCACCCGCCAAAAAAAACAAAGAAGGAGCAACAAGTACAACAATATGCTCAGGCCCCCCTCCTCACGCACACACAAACAAACACACACACACACACACACACACAAACAAAACAAACAAAAACACAACATGAAGCACAAACAAACCATCTAAACGAAACATTGACATGGATTGAGGGTGGGATCCATCGGAAAAGGCTTCGCAGGCCAGCCACGACAAGAGGCCCCAAATGGCCTGGGCACTCCTTGTGGAATTTCTGGGTCTCTCTTTTTGTGAGGTACCTTTTTGGCTTGGTATTGAAAAGAAACCACAAGGTTTCCAGCAAGTTTTGGGGGGTCCCTAAAAGCAAAGGACATGCCCAAATGGATGGCAGTGAGCAAGTAATAGAAGTCAAATGAAACCAGAGCCATCCAAGACAAATGGATTCTTCCTTCGTTTCTTTTGACCCCTCTGCAAAACGTGCTTAGCGTTCCGTGGGTCCAATTCGGGAAATCCACGGACTCAACCAAAAAAAAATCAAGTCCGAAGAAGGCGTAAACCTTCCAGGTCGCCTCTTGAAAGCATCTCAACAGGTGGTGGCCCGTTTTTGGATGGAACACGTCGCCGCGTCGGGACCCGTGTCACTTCCGGACACGCCGGACAGGTCCGACTCCTGCTCCAAAGCCGCTTCCCGGGGTTGGAAATTGTGAAGAGAGAGTGATCCAGGACTAGGTGCTCCAGATTTGGAGGCTAGAATAAGTTGGTGCCGTTTTTTGTTTTTTTTCCTGGTTTGCCGATTTTAGTAGGGGAACCCAAAACCCCCAAAAAGTGGGGCAAAGGGTACTACTGGGAAAGCCAGAGGAACTTGGTGCTCTAGGTTTCCTTCAAAAGCTCTCCCAAACTTGCTGGTGCGATAGGGAAACAATGACCTTCCGGGTGTTGGGAATGAGCCACGAAGAAAACTCAAGTCAAACCCCTCGGCGGTTCTGAGGCAAGCCATGAACCGACGGCGGGCGGAACGTCGCTCACCGCTCACCGGCCTGGACCCTCAAAACTCTCATAGGGACGGTGACAAATTTAGACGAAGCCCGCCATGTGCTTGAGCCGATGTCGCCCGCGCACACGGATCAGCATGGATCAGCATGGATCAGCATGGATCAGCATGGATCAGCATGGATCAGCGAGGTCGGTGGCTCAGCTGCGGGTATCAGGGGCCAGGGGACCAGCAAGTAACAGCCAGGTTTCATGGCTCCACGGTGAGACAGGTCTACACTCTTAGCACCTTGGGTTCCCGAGCTTCAGCTTCCCCTCATGTGGGGGTTTGGATTGGTGGTTTGGTGGTTTGGTGGTTTGGATTGGAGGGTGTCCAATTTTCCCCTACAAACACCAGGGCTTCAAATCCCCAGCTCCCAATCCAAACCACCAACCTCAAAGGTGGCCTGACTAAAGCTGTGGGTGGATTCCCGAAACGAGTCGTTCACACCGTCGCTTCGCGCGCGTTTTACCCCCGGCGACGTATTGAGGGCGTGAGCAGTTGCTCCAAAGCGGTTTTCTCTCACACAAGTGTTGCTGTCTGACTTTTTTAAGGAGCTTTTTTGGTTGGATATCGTTTTGTTCGATTCTTCCTTTATTGTCCTTTGGGGGGGGGTTCCCCCGATTTTGACACGCAACTGGTGGTCCGATCCTTTCCTTTGGCACAACTGCGCGCCCTAGAGCCCGTCCATGGCGCATCGGAAGCGCCCCGGGCGGTACCTCTTGGCATTTGGGTCAGCTCGCGCCGATCTGCATGGACATGGTGGCTCACCACTATTCCCGGCCGCCGAGTTGACCAGGGTCACTTTTCCCATTTAGTGGTTGAAAAAAATCATCGTTTTGGCTGTTTTCCAACCAATGGTCATCCCATGCAAAGGACCTTTTGATCAACCCCCAAATCTTTCCCCAGCCCAAATGAGGGCCTTTGACGCCCAAGGCCAACGACCGTAAATGAGGCCAGATGGTTTCCCTGTTTCATTTGCAGCTTTGCCCATCCTAAAGCCCAACCAACCAACCAACCAACCAACCAACCAACCAACCAACCAACCAACCAACCAACCAACCAACCAACCAACCAACCAACCAACCAACCAACCAACCAACCAACCAACCAACCAACCAACCAACCAACCAACCAACCAACCAACCAACCAACCAACCAACCAACCAACCAACCAACCAACCAACCAACCAACCAACCAACCAACCAACCAACCAACCAACCAACCAACCAACCAACCAACCAACCAACCAACCAACCAACCAACCAACCAACCAACCAACCAACCAACCAACCAACCAACCAACCAACCAACCAACCAACCAACCAACCAACCAACCAACCAACCAACCAACCAACCAACCAACCAACCAACCAACCAACCAACCAACCAACCAACCAACCAACCAACCAACCAACCAACCAACCAACCAACCAACCAACCAACCAACCAACCAACCAACCAACCAACCAACCAACCAACCAACCAACCAACCAACCAACCAACCAACCAACCAACCAACCAACCCCAACCTCTTCTTTCCGCGAAGCCTTCTCCTTGTAAAGGCCCCGCCTCACCCCGAGAGGCAAGAGGCACCACTCCGAGGCGTCCCATTCCTCCCTGCCGCTCGGCAGCATTTCAAAAGTCACTGCATTAGCCTTTCCAGAGGAACCCAAACCCCAAATTTGGGCACAGCTTGGGATTTGGGATGGAACAAGACAGATGTAGAGTACATGACCGTTGCGGAACATCTGAAAGTTTGGGATGGAACAAAACACATGTGGAGCTTTACATGACCGCTGCTCACGCCCAAACTTTTTGAGGATGTGCGTTCCCCTGGTTGTTGGTGTCGCAACCAATTCGCGGACACGGATCGGATTCCAGCACCAGTTCCCCAGCCTGCATTTGAAACCAGAGAAACCGACGAACTCGGGCCCCGAAGCCTGCGTGACTTGGGATGGCGAAATCAGGAACCCAAATGTGTGCAGTCCTCAATTGACTCAATCCTCAAGAGAGGTGCTGGAAAAACTTTGTTAGAACCCTTTGTGTTGGGAATTGTGGAAACCTACAGGAATCTCTGAATTCCCTGTAGCTGGTTCATAAGAGGGTAGGGGTCCTGATGTTTCTCCTGACAGCCCGAACTCGCTCTAAAAAACATGGCTCTGCAAGCCAAGACAAAAACCTACACTGAAGCAATCCACGTCATCGCGCTATGGACATTGGGAGCCACCTCCAACGTGCTTGGTGGACATGAAATCCTTTCACCCCCATCTGGGAGTTCTACACAACTTCAAAGCAATCTTCCAGGGTTTTTCACAGGATTCAGAGCCAAAAAAACCAAACCCAAGAGTGCAAGGCAAGTTTCTGATCGAGCGGCTTGGCGCCAAAAAAGAGGCAAGAGGCCAAGTCGCACCCAAACCTTTGCAAAAGGTTGCGACTCCAGGGTGGAAAGTGCGGACCTCAAAATGGCCAAGTCCCTTCAAATGAAAGGTCACTGATGTTTTCATCTCTATTCTTGGTATGGTAGCGAAAAACCTTTTGTTTTGCAGACCCCCAGAAAAAATGAACAGAACCAAAAAACTAAAAAACCAAAAAACATGCCAAGAACAGTGAAGCTTTGCTTTTCCACAAGTCGCCCAGGCTTTGGGGCAAATCGGTCGAATTAATTGCTTCTCCCGCGTGGCTTGCGGGGAAGCGGCCATCCTCTCGACTGGCTCACAAATTCAGCAATTCCGGCCAGAAAGACCTGAGATGACGATGTGCCTGAGGCTCCATGTTTCCTCCCACCAATTAACCACCGGCACCGTTGGACGCTCGAAGAATCGGTCCTGGGTGTGGACCATTTTCCTTTTGAAAGGAACGGGACCCGAACGTCAGGTTCCGCATCAATTAGGTGGGAGGGTAAAACTGGGTTGAAACGCACTGTTAGTGCGAGGGAGGGTAGATTGGGTGACATAACATAATGTGACCTAGCCTGACATACTTTTTTTGGTGGACGAAATCCATTTCGCGCCATGTTGAATCCTTGGTTGAAACAGGGCTAGGGTTTCTTTGGTGGGCCAGAGTTCGCGCAACGGTATCACTGCCAGGGAGGTGGAACCAAAGCCTGGGGACGCTGGGACTTTGCATGGTAACACGTGGACTCCAGCGAGTGTGGCGAGTGTGTCGGCCTGCAGAAATGGGAGGGTTGGCATTGGTCGAAGAAAACTTCCCCCCAAAACCAACCCCTTGAACGTCACCGCCAAAGAACACTCACTGGAAATGACCAAAGGCTCACTTCCTGAGTGACTTGGCGAAAGATCAAGCGGTTTCCGTCCGCCACATGGATCTTCCAACAAGCACCTCCTGTCTGTGGCAGATTGCTCTAGCCCAGCCCAGGGCGTGACCACAGCCACCCAAAGGTATGAGTTGTTTTTTCTTCTTTTTTTCGTTTTTACACGAACACCCCAAGATAGCTTCGGTTTTCCAAGAGGGGGGTACCCTCCAAAAGACACAACCAAGTCCAGGAACTCGGGGCGTGAGGAAGGCAATGGTTCAACTAGGCTAACTACCTAACCCTAAACCACTGAACCCGGGCTTTTCCCCAACTCAAACCAACAAACACAAAACATTTGGGTGTCTTGAAAAAGCAAAAGCTCTCTGGATCTCGGAGAAAAAAACAACTCCCTTTGTGTCGGTTTGCCTAGAGCCCCCCCCCCCCCCCCCCCGCGTGTTTTCCCGCTCTCCTTCTTGTTAAAAAAAAAAAAAAAAAAAAAAAAAAAAACGGGTTGCGTTCCCTCAGAAACCGAACCCATCTCTCGGATCCGATCGGCCCCCGAGCCCCCGAGTCCCCCAGCCGCGGGGAGTCGGAGCTGTTGGAAGACCGCGGGGAGTCCTGGAACTTCGTTGCGGGGCGCGGCAAAAAAAAAAAAAAAAGGAGGAAACAAAACACGGGGCCGCGCCCTTTTGGTGTCTCTTTTGTGTGCTTTTTTGGGGGAAGGGGGGTTCAACAGAACCAAAAGACTGTGATTTTAGCTACAGTGGACATTAAAAAAGGAAACCTCTGCCTTGAGTCATTGAGTCGCCTGTCTTAGGCCCAACTCTCGAGATCCCGTCATTTGGCTTTTCAAAGGAACCTCGAAACGGTTGCAACGGTGTCAAAAAAAAAGAGCGGGGTGGAGTCAAAGGGAAAGTGGAACCATTTGGATGTGTCAATTTTTGAGGGGACCCGTGTTTCGGGCTTGGTTTAAAGGGAAACCTAAAGGAACGCCACCTTTTCTAGGGGGTCCCTCAAAAAAAGACACGCCCATTGCAGGACTATCAAAGTCACCCCCCCAGGTGGCAGGTGAAAGGAAACCCGTCTGACTCTTCCAGGGGTGTGGCGTCACTGGATTTCCCCAAAAGGTTGAGGAGTTTACTGGCGGTGTCCCTCCAAACTGCCACTTTTGGAGATTCCCAAAAAGGGAAATGGAGGAAAGTCTGAAAAAACTGGCGTCTGACCGGAAGAGGGAGGAGCCTATCCATCTAACCCTTCCATGGGATATGCATGGAAAAGACTAGGGAGGGTCTGCTTTGAAAATGCTGCAAGGTAAGAATGACCCAACAAAATCAAAGGTAACAACACTGTACATATTATATATATATATATATGTATGGTGTTGTCCCCTTGATTTTGTTGGGTCATATATATATATATATATTATATTATATTATATATATATATATATTAGGACAAACCCGCATCCACTTTTCTGGGCCGGCCCATGGCGCAAGTAAGTTCGGGGAACTGGGCCTCTCTCTCTCGAGAAGAAAAAAAAAGTGGCCAGGTGCACAGAACTCAACGCCGACGGTGGTTGCGAAAATTGGAAGAGCATTAATCTTACCCCTTAAAACTCCAAGCCCTGGGGAAGCTAATCTTTTACAGACATATAGCCCATGTTACCCAAAAAGTTGAAAAGTTGTGTTTTTTAAGAGGTAAGCAATTGGAAGCATAACGTTGGTTACCGTGGGTGGTTTCCAATAAAACTTACTGTGGATGGTTGCTGTGGATGGTTGCGGATGGTGTCCATGGTTTCAAAACGCGCTAATTGGAAAAGATGAAATTCAAAGCATAACGTTGGTTAGTATTTATAGGGGAATCGAATCATCCCGTCCATCCACAGTCGGATGGATGCAACCCAGCAAATCTTGGCTGACACACCACTCTCAACTGGTGCCGATCGTGGATTTTGTTCTACAGGGGCCCTTTTTGAGGTGTGCCAAACCAGAAGGAATCCCCAAGAAAAGAAAGAAATCCAACAAACAAACAAGCAAACAAGCAAACAAGCAAAGAAGCAAACAATCAAACAAACAAACAACCAAACAGACAGACAGACAGACAGACAGACAGACAGACAGACAGACAAACAAACAAACAAACAAACAACACACAAACGACAACTGCTTTTGTTTTGAAAGGAACACACACACACACACACCCACCCACCCACCCACCCACCCACACACACACACACACCCACCCACCCACCCACCCACGCACACACACACACACACACACACACACACCGACCCACCCACCCACCCACCCACCCACCCACCCACGCACCCACCCACCCACCAACACACACACACGCACACACACACACACACACACCCACCCACCCACCCACCCACGCACACACACACACACACACACACCCACCCACCCACCCACCCACCCACCCACCCACCCACCCACCCACCCACCCACCCACCCACCCACCCACCCACCCACGCACGCACGCACGCACGCACGCACGCACGCACGCACGCACGCACGCACGCACGCACGCACACCAAAAGGAGAAAAAAGAAGGACACCTGTTTTGTTCTACGAAAAAACACACACCGACAGAAACCAGTGGATTGTTGAAAGGACACCCGATAAAACCCGTCGGTCCAACCTCTTCGGTTTCGGTTTGCAGGTCCTGCACGACCAGTCCTTTGTGGACCAGCACCTCGCTTGGCCGAAGCGATGGTTTTCCTTTTGCTTTTTTCGCCCCCTGCGAAAAAAATGGCGGTGGCTCAAAAAACCGGTACCCAGAATGGAAGCCTGGTAAGTGGAAACATGGACCAAAACCTGCGCAACCCAATTTTGAGCCACAGCCAAAGGAGAAAATATTTGAACCAAGAAAGGGAAATATGGTATCTTGTTTTAAGGAAATGGAAGCAACGGTTTCTCTTTGATTTGATTTGTTTCCCTGGAAAAAACGAGGACATATGTGTAGTAGTGATTTTAAAACCGAAACTGGAAAAGGACAAGTCTTAAGCAGATGGAAGCAGTGGGGTTTCTTTGAAGGGAAGGGCCAGGCTAATTACCATGTCCTTCCTGGTAGCTGAACCGCTCCCCGGTTAAGGAGGCCGCTTTCCGACAGCTTGGCTGGAAAAATCGGAACCCAGCAAAAAAATAGACCTTTGCCTGGTGAGTGGAAAACAAAGGGAACCCCAAAAAAGCCAAAAAAACAAAAGCAAAAAGGGGAGCAAATTCTGGAGAAGAAGGATGGTTGAACCGCTGAAATATACCAGTACCCCACAGCGATTATTTTTCAATGTCCAAAATCTCGCAAGTCCTGTCAAAGCAATGGTTGGGGGGGTGCTGGTAGTAGTTGTCCCTTGTTGTACTGGTTATTCTGTGGTAGGCCGGCTCCTCGCAAAAAAAAGGGGGAAACAAAAACATCACCTGGTGCATTGAGAAGGGGAGTGTTTGAAAGGGCTTCATCCCTGCCAACTGCTGCGACTGGGCCATCCACACGACAGCTAGAAATCAGATCTCCGAAACAAGTTTGCGGGCGAAACCCAGCGTGACCAAATGAGTGTGGCTCAAAATTGATTACGCAGGTTTTAGTCTTTGTTTTCATTTGCGAAGGTGCCATTTTGGTACCAGTTTTTTGAGCCACAGCCAAATCCAAACTCTGCGGGCCATTCTCCCCACAAGACATAAAAACGCCGGTTGCTGTTTTCGCTTGGAAAGCCGGCAAGAGAAACCGAGCCAGTGACGGCCCGGCCCTAAATGGCAGCTCCCGAAGTCACATCGTTTTGGATCTCTTTCAATCAAAGGTCAGGTGCTTTGAACCACGTTTGCACATGTTTGATCATGCACTTGTCATGCGCCCCCGTATCTCCCATAATTCGAGGTGCTTTTACTTGCGATTACTTGTGACTTACGTGGTGATGGACTTAAGATGAACCCGATTGGCGAACAGCTCTACCGGCCTTTTTCTTGCTGGCGCGATAAGCAGGGAGTGTGGGAATGAACTGAGGGATTCCCTGAAAGGCAACCACCAGTTGCTTTGAATCGGGGTCATTCCATGTCTCATTCCCTGCATCTCTCGCACCAGCCCCGGGTTTTTGAAGCTTGCTTCAGGGCCCGGCCGCATCGGCCACCACCTGACCCAGGATTTGCCGCCCCACCTGGCAGCAAAAGGAGGGGATTTTATCACAAAGGTGAAAAAAACACGTAGACATGTCATTTGAGGACCTTACTCAGGACCTTACTCAGCCCCCCTCAGGTGCCACCCCTCAGGTGACACCCCTCAGGTGAAAAACACGTAAACACGTATTTGAGGACACTTTGGACTCTCCAGTTTGCTTGGACTCAGGGAGTCTCCAACAGTGTAGGCCCACCACTGGGTTTCAGCCAACAGCTGGACGATCCACTTCGAATTAGGTGGAAAACACCGCGTGCTTGGAATCAGGTTGCATCCCACTTCGAAGCCGAAGAGGGCTACCCCTGAGTTTCAGCATGCCTTGTCAGTCAAACAGGGATCCTTACATGAAAAACACCTGAACATTGCCTTGTAAATTGTGGTTTCCCTTTATCTCGGCGGAAAAAGCCATGTTTCAAATGGGCAAAATGTATCTTTTAGGGAGCCCTGTCAAAGCATGGAACCCTGAACTGGGCTTGACCGGAACATCTTGCGCCACATGTGAACAGTGCAAACCCGTTGCCATACCCGCGGATCGCTTGAGTTGGGGTGGTTTCCATTGAACCGATCCCCACTGTTGGAGGTTCCCTTTAAAACAGGGCTGTGGGGAATGACCACTTCTATGATACAATAGCAACGGCTTCCCAAAGACTGATTTGATCATAGAAACGGGGATTCCCTTGTATCACAGAAGTGGGGATAAACCCCTTGATCCCACAACCCTGGTTTAAAAAGAATGGAGGAAGCTTCTCGCGATCTGCGTCGAAGGAATTCGATTGAGTTGAATCCCCAAGGGCCTTCATGGTGCCCAATTACATACCCCCGGATCGATAAGCTCGGAAACGACGTATACTTCGAGTATCAATCGTGCTTCATACTGTTTGCACAGAAGTTGCATCGACTCATCCCCACCTTATGAGAAGGGCGGGTCCCATCTAAGAGGACGCCACCCTTTATACATTGCTCCCCTGATCTCACAAGGACAAAACAAAACTTGGGGATCGGAACCTCCTAGTTTTGGCTTCCTTTCTTAGGATTCCCCAGATTTCCCCTTCCAACCAACACCTACCAAAAGGAACTCCCTTCCCCCCCCCAAAAAAAAAGAAAGAAAGAAGAGGGCAAACCATGCAAAAACAAAAATGATCTTTCAACCATCCCAAAGGGGAAGGTTTGCGAAATCCACTTCGCACCGTTCAGAAACCCTGGTTTTTGATTCGATTCCCCTGCAAATACCAACAAGCCTTGTTTTCCATGGTCTTAAAGTGGTGCAGGGTTTGGTCCAACCACACTACTTTGGATGGACGAAATCCTGCACCACTTGGAAACCATGCGAAACCATTGTTTACGGGTATTTTCAGGGGATTCAGCATTCCAGGGTTTCTTAGGTGGTGCAAAATTTCGTGCATCCACAGTGTGGCCCCAACCTTCTTTTCGGAAGCGCCAAGCCGCGGCGCTGCCGATGGCCAAGATCGACCCTTTCGCAACCCTGGAGCACCTGACGCCCTGTGAGCGCAGCTTTCCATCTGGCCTTTCATTCCAAACGCTTCTTGAAAGGTCCCTACTGCGGATGGACGAAATCGACGGGATCTGACCTTTTAGCTCCCCCTTGTTTTGTCGAGTCTACTTTGAGTCATGCTGTGGATGGGTTGCAAAATCCATTCTTAGGCACCACCGTGCAGAAAGCCCGGCTTCTGATGAGACTCCCCAACGTAAAAACAACGTCCCATGGTTTCAAAGTGGTGCCGTCCAACAAAGGTTTCAACAAACAAACAAAGGTTTCAACCGTGGTTTCCAAGTGGTGCAGGATTTCATCCATCCGCAATATTTTGAGGAAACCCCTATCTCTGACTTGAAACTCTTGTAGGCCACATCGACACCTACTTCTCACCCGACCGGCGTCAAAAAAAAAAACGTCGGCGCATGGCTGGCTGCGGCAGACCAGTTGGGTGTGGGTCAAAAACAGGTACCCAAAAGTGACCCCCGGTAAATGGAACCACAAACTAAAACCTGCGGTCCAATTCCTGGTGGTTCAATTTTGACCCATACCCAGATCTCTAAGTTCCCGAAGAATCCCAATATCGCCGTCCGCGCCTTAAAGATCGGATCATGGCCAAACCTTTTGCTTCGGACCGCCCTGGAAAGAATGAGAAACTATGCCCAGTGAAATCGATTCCCTTTAAAACCAACAGGGTTTTTATTATTCTTATTATTATTCTTATTATTATTCTTATTATTATTCTTATTATTATTCTTATTATTATTCTTATTATTATTCTTCTTCTTATTATTTTTTAGAAACTGGAAAAAAACAATCAGCGGCTGCGCCTGCCTGATTCAGGTGCACACCATCCGCCAGCATGGCGTCCGGGCGCTGCAGCCTGGCACCTACTGGGGCGCCGATGAGATCATCGCCCGGGGGAAGGAAGGGAAGGACACCCCGGCCATTTTCCGGAGAAAGTCCAGCTTTTGAAGAGGGAGTCTGTTCACACACCCAGTGGCCAGGTGCACAGAACTCAAGGCCGACTGTGGTTGCGAAAATTGGAAAGCATTAATCTTACCCCTTAAAACTCCAAGCCCTGGGGAAGTTCTCATCTTTTACAGACATGCCCATGTTACCCCGAAAAGTTGAGAAAAGGTTTGTGTTTTTAAGAGGCAAGTCTTCCGGAAAGTCCAGCTTTTGAAGAGGGAATCTGTTGGGCAGCCTGGGAAAGATGCGCGTTACGCTCAAAACCTGGTACAAAGATGGTCTTCCCAAAATGTTCAAAACCCACGGTAAAGGTCTAGAAGGGCGGATATCCGCACCTATTCCTCCATTTGCTTAAGTCCGCTGGAAGAAATATAAAAATATTTCCACTAGTGATACATTCCCTTTAAAATTAAAACCAACAGGGGAAAATTATGAAAAAATGTTCTTAACCAGATGGAAGTATTTATAGTGACTATCTTCTAACCTACATCTTCCAGGGTTTTGACTGGCTCATGCGGTGTGTTCCAGCCAAAGATTGAACATAAGCTTCTTTTGAGGCAGAAAGCAACCCATAGAGCCAGAAACAAAGGTGAATGGACGCTCCTCTGTCGCCCCCCCCCCCAACCTCGCCCAACTCAAACCGCTGTCGCCCATCTAAAGGGTTTCCTCACGTACCAGGTAATTTTTAGCTTCAATCTTAAGTGTTGCCACATGGCTGCTTGAAGATTTTGTTGCTTTGGTTGGCTAAGTTTCATGGCACGTTTCTGGGGTTCTTTTCCAGCATGGGTGCGCGGGAAAATATACCATTGGCATGCGTTGCTTAAGGTTGCTCTTAAGTTGGTAAGGCAGACCAAAAGTCGAGAACCAGCTTTTTGTGGGGTCCCACGGTCCTTTACCTTCCCTTTTCCCTCCAGCAACCAACAAAACGACGGCCCGTTTTCTCCCCCCAGAAGTTCGGCGCCCCAAAACGTCCACCCCTCCACCCCACCCCCCCAAGCTCCCGCTCCGAGGTCCTCCAGTAGAGAGGTTAGAATAAGTTGGTACCGACTCTTTTCTGTTGTCTATTTTAGTAGGGGAACCCTCCCAACCAAAAACAGAAACGGTGAGAGGTCGGGCACCTAGCTGGGGGCCCTAGGCTCGACGCTCGTCTCTTGACGGCGCGCAAGGCTCGCTCCTCCCAGCGCGGAGAAGGCGTCGAAGTAGGCCACCTTCAGCTCCTCGGCGAGCTGCGGGATGAGCCTCTCGGGCCGAGACGGCGACCGCTACCACCTGGAGACAAGTCCCCCAAACCCCGTGGGGAGAACCCTGCGCCCGGCAGAGCGGGTTTTCCCATCTTTGGTGGCGGACCACCCAACGATCGCAAAAACCAAAACAGGGGGTTTTGCTGAGAGACAGTGAAGTCGATTCCATTCAAAACCAACAGGGCAAACGGAAGTCAACAGCATATGGGTAAGGCTTTATGGTGTGATTGATGTGACCAAACCAGATGGTGCGCAGTAGGGAATGAGGGAATGAACCCAGGCTTTGGTCCCCTTAAAGGAAACCACTAGTTGGATGGTTTAAGTCGGGGTCATTCCACTTCTCATTCCCTGCATGCAGCAAGAAAGGTAAGGCTAGCTATGGATTCCCTGAAAGGAAACCACCAGCTAGATGGTGGGCTGATTCCAACTCTCATTCCCTGCATCTAGCCCACTGGAAAGAATAAAGGATCAACTCCAGTAGTGAAATAGATTCCCTTTAACACCAACAGGGGAAAGTGAACAAAAAAGTTCGGCAAATGGAAGAGCACGATTACCCTATCCAGGCTTGGGGTTGGATAGCAATACGTCGCGCCACCCGCGCCTCGGAAGCTCGCGATTCACCACCTGCTGCCTGGCCAAATCGGGGAAGGTGAGCCCATGGATCCCTGAGCTCCTTTTTTGTTGGGCGTGGGAGACTTTAGCCCAAAACGGCTTCGGGGGGGTTCCGCCTGAAAACCCACAGAAGGAGGGGGGGGGTACCCTCAAGCAGGGCTTTCACCAGAACTCTACTTTTGGAAATGCCGGCGATCGTTTCAATGGACACGAGTTCAGTTCTGGAAGAAATCCAGCGACCCCCCAAAAAAAACGCCGAATGGGCTCAAAACCGAGCCCCGGGAAGGGGCTTCCAAATTCCCAAGCTGCGGGGTTTCGACCAACAGGCCCGGAGCAGTCAGTTGTGATTGGCCTCTTTTTCCCCCCAATCACCCCAAAACACCGAGCCAGCGGAAAAGAAAAAAAAAACGGGGGGGGGGGGGGGGGGAAAGGCGCCCGTATCCCTTCGGGTTCAACCTTGTGGCCCGCGTACATTCCGTTTCCCCGCTTGCTTCCCCGAAGTCCGCTTCCCAGCTTTGAAACTCAAGTGGCAGGATCCAGGAAACCACCGGAAACCGCCGGAAACCATTGCAACTGTTCAAGCGAGAAAAAAACAAATCCAGCGACCTTTGTCAAACAACATATGGGTGTTGAGGGCCATGTGTAAATTGATGAGAACTTAAAGGCAAAACGGGAAAACCGCCATGAGCTCCTTGCTACATCAATTCCATACGACCATTTGTTGAGGATCCTCTTTCTATTTTGTATTTTCGCTGCAGAGGTCCATCTTTTCCACATGCTTGGTATGGAGAAGGCACCCATTCCAGGCGAGCTGCTTGAGCATGCTGGACATGGCATGCCCGCGGTGGTAGAGCGGCGGAGGAACCTCAAAGCCCCCCGAGAACGGCACGCGGTGTAGAGCGGCGGCTCCCTTTGGGCTCCCGTGTTGAAATCCATCAAAACAGGAGTGCCCTCTCGAAAAACACACACACACACCCATATGGGATGGTCTTTTTTGAGGCCACCCTTAAATCCATCAAAACTCTGGGGATTGATTCCAACTCCATTCTTTTCAACCATCGTTCTTTCCAAAAATCGGATCCGTTTCCCCTGGGCTTCCGGAGGTTTTCTAGAAAGAAGGATCCCTGGAAAGAAGGGGGAAGGTACCCCGAAAAAAATGGGAGTACCCTCAAAAAACACACACACACAACACACCCAGAGGAGATTGTCTTTTTTTGAGGATACCTTTTGGTGGTTGCTTTAACAGGAATCAAAGGCAAACCACCCCACAAAGGGTAGAAAAACCCGCCGCCATATGAATGTTTCCCAACATAGGGAACCCCAACTTCCATTTGCGTTTTCGCTCCCTGGAAAAATATATCATATGTCCAGTAGTGAAATCGATTCCCTTTAAAGCCACCAGGGGAGCCTGAAACCATGTTAAGCACATGGAAGTTAAAGGATGCATCCAAAAACGGTATCCTTACCAAAGCTTGGTTGACGTTGGAAGGGGAGCAAAAAATCAAATTTTAAGCAGTTAAGTGGTTGGATTTCAACCACTAAAACCACAATTTGCGCAAAACTGCTTCCCAACAACAGCCATGAAAGGGATCCTCTAAACTTGGTAACAGTGATGGTTAGGCTAACTGGGGCCTACAAAAGGTCGTGCGGTTCCTTGTGGCTTTCCGCCAGCCCGCGGGAGCAATGCTGCATCTGGGACCCCGGGCCCCCAGCAAGATCAGCGGCGGGCGATCCGAGTGCTGGATCTGCTTCACCTCGGCGACACGACTCGAGGTCGCACGGGGGAGTCTGGCATAGGCATCCAGTCTGGCATACTTCTGGGTGAATTATAATATTTCACCAGCCTGAAAGGAGGTGGTTTGGGGGCTACTCCCCGAAAAAAATACGCCACACCTCTGCCAAAGCCATTTTGGGACTCTGGCATACCACATCTGGGGGGGGGGGGGCAACAAATGTTCCCACTCGAGGCAGTCTACAAAGCCTTGTCCTATAGCGTCGATGTGTCATACCGCTGTTCTTAGTTGTTCATCCCTTGCCAAAGGTTAAACCTTTAGTGGGAGAATATGTCGAACCTCCAAACTCCAAACATCTTAAGAACCGCAGAAGGCGTGTCTCAAAATAACCTTCAAGAAACCAGCCATTTGGAGGTCGCTGGACAGCCATTGTGGGGGGGGGCCTGGAAGGAGTCCTAAATCTGGCAAGGGGTATCCACCATGCCTCTTCAGAAGCCCTCTTTCTCTGGCCAGCTAGCCCCAAATTGTTGGCAATTGGCCGGTGCAAAAGGGGGAACAAAAGCCTTCCAAATCATGAAGTATAGCTTAGCAAAGGTAAGTTGTGTGCTATGGGCTTGGGAACAGTATACAGTTACAAGACTTCCATGGCTTCAAGGCGAATCGACGAATCGCTCGAATCCAGTTCTGGGCTTCCAAACCAAGCTGGTGACGCTCTCCACAAAGCCCCGCTCGCTCCAGTAGACCTCCACAAGCTCAAGATTCCAGGGTTTGATTCCAATTCCATTCTTCTCAGCCATCGTTCGTTTCAACAACCGATCACCATTTCCCCAGTTTTTTTTTGGTGGTTTTCTAGAAAAAGGATCCCTGGAAGGAAGGGGGAAGTTACCCTAGAAAGATATCCTTTTCGGTTGAAAATAGATGGCCCTGGTAGTTGATTGAACCACCAAGTAAACCAGGAATCGCCAAACCTATTTTTCAACCAAATCCACCAAAAAGGACGCCTATGCTCAAGATGTCTTTCTTCTCGTTTGGCTATCGAAACTGCCACTTTTGGAGGTTCCAAAGGGGGAAATGGAGGAAACCCTGCTTTTTGCCACATCCTCATTTAATTTGGCTGTGGGTCAAAAAGAAGTACCCAAAATGGAGCCCTGGTAAATGGAACCAAGGACTAAAACCTGCGTAACCCCTCCTGGTTAATTTTGACCCATCCAAAACGCCCTAAGCTTCAGAAACATCTTGAAATGTGCTACGTACAACACCGCCATAGCCCCCCCCCAACAAATGATGATTCAATCCAATTAACCCTCACTGACAACCGTCACAACGAAAACTCTAAATCGATTCACAAGCAAAGTGCGCTGTGGTTTCTCTGGCCATTGCAAGGCGGTTTTTGGCAAGCAGGAGGAAAGGACATTGGGCTCCCTTTTTGCCTGAGCCTCCCTCCCCTTTTCCGGCAAAAGCCTCATGCTGCGCAGCTCAACTCAACACATCAGCCTCTGAAACCACTGTACGAACCTCGGCTCCTGGTTCCTCGGTGTAGATCTTAAGGACTCTTTGGGTGGACATCCTGTCCCACCAATTCTGAAGCTGTGCCAACCATGAAATGTCCCAGCTGGTTAGACACAAACAATCCTGGCAACTAACGCAATCAGTGGTGTCTATTCGACTTACCTTCAAGAAGCTCCTGAAAGGGTACCGAGCCTCAAAAAGCGTAGCCCTGGTCAACAAAGTCAACCACTTGCAACAATGGTTCTAACTTACCAAGTGTGTTGAACAACAAAGCTCTCCAAGCATCAACACTCATAACCGTTATATGTCACAACCATTGTCAACAAGCCCCTGCTGTCAACCACTTGTGACAATGGTTCAAGCGCAACAAGCATTAACAGCGTTAGATGGCCTTTCTGAAAAAAGGACAATGATCCTTCGGGGCCATTCCTGTGACAACTGTATTATGTGGTATGCTCTCTCGGCAACTCACAGAAAGTGAGAGCCAAAGCCCCTACTTCCCAACAAGTGAGCTTGGACTACCCACAACCATGCCATTTGCACTCACCATTTGGGGTTCCAAATGAAGACACAGCCAAAGTGAATGTTCCCACTGGGTTTTCCTTTAAAGTTGGCGGCTTGGACGATGGGGGTACCTTTCCCAGCTGGTTTCAAAAGAGGTTCATATCCCCATTCACCAATCCAAATGTGGATGGTTGCGAAACTCATCCACTTGGAAACCATAACGTTGAAACCACAAAGTTCGTTGGTATTTACGTTGGGAAATTGAATCCTTCCAGGGTTTCTGAACGGTGCAACATGGATTTCGTCCATTCACAACCGGATCTTGGGGGCCGAATCCGATGCCTTCCACAAAAAGCCCAGGACTCACGGCCGATGCAGTCACCGGAGGTTTAAGGCCTGAAGCATACAACAAAAAGGGCCTCCCAAAGATTAGAAACCCCCAGTGATCCCACCAACGCAAGACATTTTCCCGGGCCCCTCCACCACACGCTATACCCCTCGAGCGAGTCCACCTCCACCCCCAACACCCCCCCTCCCTCCCCACCCCAGATGAAAAAAAGGGCATCATTTTTTTGGTTGGTTGACTTTAAAGGGAACCCCTTCCCAAAAAAAAGGAGAGAAAAAAAGCGCGTCGCTGGGCAACTGGGAAACAGCCCCACTTCCCCACAGCCTACGCGCAAACCCCCCCCCCCTCCCCACGGCCCCGCTTCCCCAACCCACGCCCCTCCACCACGCCCCGCGCCTTGTGGGCGTCGTTGGTGCCCAGCATCAGCGTCACCACGTCCGCCGCCGAGGCCAGCGACTGCTTGAAGGCCACGCTGGCCCCGTACCTCGCGAATGCGAACGCATTTCGGCAGCTCGGTCGGTCCGTCCCGAAAGAGTGAAGGTGAGAAAATGAATCTATACGTAGCAGATACGGTACTGTCCAAGAAGCTAAACAAATACAAACGCGGGACCCCTGCTTAAAAAAGAAAAGAAAAGAAAAGGCCAACAGACATGTCCTATATGATTCGTATGGTCAGACCCATCTGTGCGGAAGAAAGGGCACCTTTCTTCAGGTAATGGATTTATGGGGGGACCCTCGTCAACAAAGGAGAAGCATGGCACCATGTGAATGATCCGCAGGGTTCTGTTTTTGTTTTCTTTCTTTTTTTCTTCGTCAAATCGCACCCATTCGGTCGGTTTGCTTGGGTGTCCTGGCGCCCTTTGCCGATTGCTACCCTTTCAGTGGTCAAACCACTCGGTGATAACCACTTTAAAGTCCCCCATTCAGTAGAGATAATTGCCCCCATTGTCAGCAAGAGCGGGGTAGATGGCTATTCATTTGCTAACCTTGCCGAACATCCAAGAAGGGCAACCTTTGCAAAGGGCGCCCTTGTCACTCGCTGAATATGTCCCGTCAAAGATTGGTTTTGAACAACCTTTTGGACAGGCCGTTATCAATGAGCTTCCATTTTGGCGGGGGCTTGGTTTTTGGTTGGACGTATCCGGAGCCCTGTTGTGTGGAAGGGAAACCAAACGGAAGTCAACACCTGTGTGTCAAAACGAGATAGACTCTTCCTAATGCTCGTCCCGGGTGTTCACACATCCCTATTTGGAAAGGAATAAGGGAAAAGGAAGCGAGGACAACTCTGCCAACAGGTTGGTGCCTTCCGCATCCATGTGTCCCAGCAGCATTGTGAAAAAAAGCAAAACCATATAATCTAAGAGAACACACACACACACACACACGTGTCTTTTAAGCGACCTAGAAAACCCACACCCGCCATCGGTGCCCCCAAGTCACTGTAGCCCTAGTGGGTGATTCGGTTTGCTGGTTTGGACCTCTTTGGCGTGTCTTCCCTTTGGTGGTTTCAACAGGTCCTGGGGTTCAAAGTATCCAGTTCCCGATCCAATCCAAACCACCAACTCCCTTCCTGCCACATGGCGCCTGTAAAAAGGGTACCTGGAAGGATCAAAGGTGCTTTTGTAGGCCCTGGCGAGCTGGGAGAGAGGGCGAGCTTGGTTGATGGTTGGAAGGGGGGCAAAGATTCGATTTTCAGCAGTCAAGTGGTCGGATTTCAACCACCAAACCACAATCAGCAAAAATGTGTCTAATGTTTCCGAACAACCACCATCTGAGCGGCCCCTCACCGCCTCGCAACTCTTCTGGGGGTCCATCGATCCATCGATCCATCGATCGATCGGCGCACGCCCGGGCCGTTCTGCTCGCCGTGGCACCGCAGTTCCCGAAGTTGAGGACTGGCGAGAGACGAGAGAGTGCGGAGAGTGTGGAGTCCCGGTTGTGGGGGAGCGGTAACTCCAGGGCCTCGGGGTTCCCTAAAAAACCCGGAGGAACCCTAAGGACCCCAAGGGACCCTAAGGAACCCTAAGGAACCCTAAGGGACCCTAAGGAACCCTAAGGAAGTCTAAGGCACCTTGAGGAACTCTAAGGAACCCTAGACTTCTCTCCACTACCCACCCCCCTTGTATCTACCCCCCTTGTACCAAAAGAGTCCCCGTTCCATGAAAGAGTGTGTTGGGAACCAATAGCCCATAGTTCTGTGTCAGCAGAAACCAAGAAAACCTTCCAACCACCCAAAATGGGATGCCCCAAAATGAACCTGATGGGATGACTCTCTTTAAGGGAACTTTGAGAGTCCAGGGAGTTGATTGGGGTCAGTTGTTGATTGGGGTCAGTTTGGTTTGAGGGGAAGGTCGATGGCCTTCATCAGAAACTTCTTTAAGGCAAACAAAAAGCCTTGGGCCTCGTCTCAGGCTTCTCCTAGTCTTATCTTCAGGAGGTCATTTCAGGTCTTTCGGAGCACAACAGAAGCATCCTCCGGCCCCAAAAGAATCCGATTCCGATTGAACTCAAGAGCTGGGGGACCTTGGCAACCTTGGAAACATACCCCCTACTCAAAATACCCGCTTTTTTCAGGGTATTTTTTGGAGAACCTGGTTTTCCATGGTAAAAACCTCCTTTTTGAGTAGAGGGTCGACATGCTACCCCGGAAAAAGTTGGGTTTTGGAGTAGGGGGTAGATTGCACTGAATGATTCGAACCTCCACCACACTGACCGAAAAAGGACACCTGCTTCTCAGGGTTTCTCGCAAGAACAGGTGGGCGAATGGGTCCAAGGCTCCGGCCAAGCTGGGACTTGCGCCCAAGAATCCATTGCCGGTCTGGAAAAGAGCTTCGTGTCCTTTGATCTGCGGGGGAAATACGGGTCATGGGGTTGACGGACAGGTGGCTTAAACATCACCCCTGTAAGCACCTGTGTGGAGTCGGGTTATTTGCAGGAAATCCCAAATCAACGAGCCTTCTTTTCCGGCGCTTCGGCGAACATCCGATGCTTGCAGCACTAGGTCCTCCAGTAGAGAGCTTAGAATAAGTTGGTACTCACTTTGTTCTGGTTTGTCTATTTTAGTTGGGTCCCGAACCCTCCCAACTAAAAAAGAAAGGGGAGAGAAGGGCACCTAGCTGGGGGACCTAGTGCATCTCATGGAAACCCCTGGCTTTGGGCAAACGAGTTGGGCCATGGACGCCCCCCCGACGCTTGCAGAAGCCCTTCTGGTTGTGCCGGGCTTTGTAACGCCCGCATTGTCATCGTCGGACTCATGCCAAGCGCCAGGGTCACTGGATCAAAAGTGATGCGGTCACCGCATGGCGTGCTTTTCGAGCGCAAGAACTTGGCACGGCTTGTAAGGCACTGATGTCACAAGCTTGGCAGCTCTCACCAAACGTGCGCAAGCACAACACGCAGGTCCTTCCAAGGTCACGAAACCCCGGGCGAAGATGCTCGAAGAACGGGCACCGCCAGAAACGGTGAACGCGGTCTTCTGGCACGCGCTGATGCTGACACCAACGGCACATCGGCAGAACGGAGTCTTCTTCCAGAAAGGGGTTGCCCATACCTTACAGTGGAGCAGGGGTGGGGTCCGGGACCCCATTCCATTTATCTAGTCCCCCTAAAGTTCAAATGGTGGTGGTGTAAGAGCGATGCAGAATTAGCACAAGGCACCTTTCCAGAAACTATCTGTGACCCCTGGATGAATAAACCCCTGTTCATTTAGAAAGGGGGGGGGCCTGGTTTTAAAGGGGATTCATCACTTTTGAAGGGGAACACCCCTACATTACGAAACAGGGGTTGATTAATCCGGGGTCAACATCATCTGCGAAACTGGGTGAAACCTACACGCTTTGCGCCTCCAACACGCTTCGGTTCCCAACTCATCCCGGGTCCCCGGCAAACGAGAAAATATCCAGTCGATGAATCAGATCAAGCAAACAACTCATCAGCCAGGTTTGGGAACAGAGTATGTGGGTGCGTCTTGTTTTCGGGAACCCCCCCCCAAACCAAAAAGAAGAAAGACAGTGGTATGTTTATTTTTCTTTTGGATTTCCATTTCAAACCACAAGAAAGGCCATTTGGCGGCAAGAATCTTTCAGGCAAATGCTTCAATTGGATTTGTCCTGAAGTTCAGATCTTAAGCTTGCCTCACCCAAGAGGGTGACCTCCCAAGAAATTGGGTATTGCTTTGAGGGTTCCCTTTTCTGCGTGGTTGTGAAGGGAAACCAAGAGCAAAACAATTGTGGGTAGCAATTAATTGCCTCAGCTGAGACATATATTTGAGCCAGCTGAAGCTGTTTGGCCAATAGATGTGTTTTCTTGAGGAAATATATTGGGAGCCCTGTTCCTCGAAGGAAAAACTTGCTGGCTTCTCTCAGGGCATGAGTTGGAATGAGTCGAAGTGAACCATCCTGGCGGTTGCCTTTCAATGACTCTTCCTTTCATTCCCAAAACCCCTCTCTACCGAAACCACGAACCAAGAAGGACGCCCCTCGAGTCTCGAGGGGGCGCATTTTGAGGGGCTCAAAAAAAAACGGTCGCCACTTAATTCCTAGGCTGGAATTAGGACCCCAGCAAAACATATATATTTTTGCCTGGTTAGTGGAAAACAAAGGGGACCCCAAAAAAGCAAAAAAGGAAAAAGGCTCGTGGACCGAGTCCGTTGGCGTGTTTGGCTTTGTGGCGGCTGTGTTTCTTCACATTTCTGTTTTCTGTTGGTGGGAGATTCTCCCCCTTTTCCAGAAACCACTGCCCCATTTTGTCCTGACTCCGGGGTGTGTTTTCTTCCTTTTTTTCAGGGGACACCCCCCAAATTTGTGGTGGCTTCGTTTTCAAGCCACCAAAATACAACCAATCAGCGACCCCCCGCATCAACCCTAAAGAGAGGTGCCCATCTCATAGACCGGGGTTCCCACCAAAAAAAACAGAAAGTTTGTAAAAGCTTGCGGGTGCTCAGTCGGGAATGACCCAGTTGGGAATGAGTGTAGGGATCCCTTTAAAAGAAACCACAAGGATTGTAGGGGTCCGTCCAACTCATCCCCTGCTGGCCAGCCCGTGACTTCCTCTTAAAACCAAAAGCGTTGGTCGCACCAAGAAGCGAAAACCAAAACAAACCTGGAGGAATCCAAACCACCTCGCTTCCTTTCTAGACCCCCCTAAGAAAGACAAACCAATGGAAAAAACTGCAAGACAAACTCGTTAAAAAAAAAAAAAAAAAAACTTGAGGAACGCAACTAAAAAGGCATCCAATGCGCCAACGTGCCAACGCGCCCTTTTGACCCCCGCGAGAGGCCTCGCCAGGCCACGCTGGGGTAGGCCCTCTGCAGCTGCTGCTGCAACTCCTGGCTGTTCGTTTCATTTGGCCCATGTTTCTGTTTTGGGTCATTTGGCGCAACTCAGGGAGTGAGCTTACAAAGCCAAGAGGAAACCGTTGAATATGTATCTAGGTCCCCAAAATGGGTGACCCCAAAATGGGTGACCCTCGTGACCGGCTGATTGGAGCAAAACGCACTGCAAGCCGATGGCTTCTGCGCAGAAAGTTCACTTCTTGCACCCAGGGCCCGGTTTTCATGGTCTTCGGGGCCGGCGGCCTTTTTTCTCTTCCTTTGTTCTTCCTCCGTGAGTCACCTTCTGAAAACCGCATGGGCATGGGACAAAAATGGGATCCGGGCACGAGCCAAGGGCGGAGAAAGCCGCGGAAGGCGGATCAGAAAACTCGGAGAAAACCGCCTTCAGAGCCTTCGGTGTTGCAAGGATTGGTGTCCGAAGTATGCAAAGAAAAAACTACAAAGGCGGACATCCGCACCGGAGTCTGGCTGGCTCATCTTTGCCCAAGGACATGGTTGCAACTGTCTAGGGGACGCGGAAGCGTCCCCCATTCCTTCCACAGCCCCTCCTTTTCAGGAAACGCTCAAAGCTCAGGGGAAACAGCTTGTTGAAAGAATGGGGAAGGTAACCGGTAAAAAATGGAGGGAAGCCGACGAATTCGCTTGGGCCAGTGTACCCAATTGGGGTTCATTCGAGAACTTCCTGTGTGGACTGGCCGAAAGCGTAACCAATCATCCCTTGATGTATATACCACTAACATGGTCCAGACCCCAAAAGTTGCGAAAGTCGACATGACCTCAGGGAGTGAGGCGGGTTCTGGCAATGAACGGTTCAGATCCCTGAAAGGAAACCGGTTGGATGCTTCAGTCCGATTCGCGCATTACTCCTAACCAACCGAGAGTGAGCCAGCAAGTTTCTACTAACAAACAGGGCTCCCTACATGTCCGAACCCCGACACCAATCCAACGGCCAAGAAGCTTTCCAACCAGCTCAACGGATTGTCGAACTTCATCTTTGCCCCAACCTCTAGGCACCCCAAAAATTGAATTTTGGTTCTCCCAACCAAAAACTTGCCTCCGGCGTGCATTTCCCCGAAGCCGAGCGCCAGGCGCCCCAAAACGCCGAGAAACGGACCCTCCTGAGCAAAGATGAAGGAGTCAACTATTTCAAGAACACGCTGAAGAAGTACTTTTTGAAAGGTGCGACCAACGTGTATCTGTACAGACTCCTCAGTTTCTTCAACCACAGAAGGCAGAACCAAGAGTTCCTCATTTTTACCTCAAAAATCGAAATCCTTCTCATGAGATTGAAGGCAGCATGGATGGACTTGATGCCAATCTTTACGGCACAGTCTCCATCATTTCGACAGTCCGTACAGGACGCAAATGCAAGAACAATTGCTCGACATCAGCAAGCAGCCGGTGCTCGAGCACCGCCTCCAGCCCTGCTAAATGAGGACGATCCTACAGTCCTCAGACAATATATCCAAGGAATGCAGGACAGACAGCGGGACGCATTTCCCTTCGGGGATAATCTCATTGCACAGTTTTTCATCATCCAAAGTGAGTTGTCAGATCAACAAAGAGAACGACTCACAAGTGCAATGTCATTGAGGAACATCTCACTCGAGAATTATTCCTATGAGATGCTGAAGACACACTACCATGAACTCTTCATCACAACGAGGACATCGATCCAAGATCCATCCATCCGACCTCAAGGAGGCAACCGAAGCAACACATTCTTCATCATCGAACAAGGTGAATATGAAGGAGAAGAAGGCTTCTGGGTTGAGGATGAAGAAGGACTTGAAGGATTCATGTCAAACAACGATGAAGAGACGTTCTGGGTCCTCGAGGAGAACGATGCGTTCATAGCAAGAAAAGTGTCGGGGCGGAACTTCAAGTTCAAGAAGAGAAAAGGAAAAGGAAAATCAGGAAACAAGAAGGGCAGTCCCCAACGAGGTGGCTTCAAACCCTTCAGAAAAAGCGGTTCTGGCGGAAAGGCCAATATGGCCAACGAAAACTATGATCCCTACGACCAGGCATATTGGGGAAAAGGCAAAGGAAAGAAGGGAAAGAAAGGAAAATCAAAATTCCAATATCCCTATGATGGAAACAAAGGTTATCCATCCTATGAGTGGCAAAGGAAAGAGCGGACAGGAGAAAGGAAAATCCAAGACGTTCGCAGCCACCGCAGAGAAGACGGAGGAGCAGCCCGCCATCCAGCAGACTGCACCATCCATAGAGCCTACCTATGCCGGTTGGACAGACCAAGATTGGGATCAATCATGAACATGGAACGAACATGGCTGGTACTCATCCCATGAGACATCCAGCACAGGACAAGCGTTAATGGCATTCCATGATGCATATGAGCATCCTGGGAAAAAGGCCATCCACGAGAAGCTGATCCAATCAGATGCAGTTTCAGAACACAATCTGTCCGTCACAACAAATCACAGCCTTTTGACAACAAAGCTGATGGCGCCTGTCATCAACCCTCAGCACAACCCGACCTATGCGATTCTGGACAACGGATGTACCAGATCTATGGGCAGCTGGCATGCAATCCAGCGTTTTACCCAGGCAATCGAACCAATGAAGGACATCATCTCCTACGAGTACATCCCGGCCGAGACCAAGTTCACTTTTGCAAACGGAGAGACCGCCAGGGTAAATTGGACCCTGCATCTTCGATATCACACAACACCTCCATGCAGTACGAACATCGACATCCTTGAACAAGGAACTGTACCGATCCTCCTCAGCATCAGCCAGATGCGGAACCTCTACATGACCATCGAGCACACACCTCAATAATTGTGACAAGATCACATGCAAGGCCTTTGGCATGAACCGTCAAGCAGTTCCAGTATCCGGTACAGGACATGCACTCGTCGATCTCGCTGGAGTTGCAAGAGTGAAGGCACATGGAGAAATTGCTCACAAGGGCCTCACAAACTATGTCTATGACGATGATAACAGCATCAAATTTCCCTCCGGGGATCTCACCAGGAGCGAAACTGTTTGTGCAGCAAAATCATCCGAGACAAAGGAGGACCTAGCAGCTCCTAAGATCATTGGGTCTCAAAAGCAGGACCATTGGATCCTTGACAATAAGAACAAGCAGCTAATCCGTGTGCACATCACGCCCCGAAAGGCGCTGTTCACACCAAATGGAGCCAAGGAATGTCCAATCGATCCTGATCACATCAGCCGAGAACGTACCACGGAAATCATTGATGCATCCGCAGGTGGAGATCCAGACATCTTGGAAGACAATTGGAGACTTACACCCCAGGCAAATAAACCGATGATTAACCTGTGGATAGGTAAGACCATTTTCACCTTCTCGGACAATTCGCTGAAGGACGTAGAGGCAGGTTCAGGATCGGCAGCAGACAGGATCATCGACAAGAGGGGCCAGTCGACTATTGAGCCAGATCCTTTCGCACCATCCTCAGAAGAACCAACATCGCTTCCGCTTGCCCTAGGCAGAATCCACAAGCGATTGTCGAATCCAGAAGAGTTGAAGAAACTCCACCTGCAGCATCATCACATGACCACAGATCAATTTCGATTTAGAACCCGAGCACTTCATTTGCCGAAATCAACATTCGATCTATTTGACAAGATCCGAAGTGAGTGTGAAGTTTGCCAAGTGGCGAAACATGCACCATCACGAAGCAAGACAAGCGGACTTCGAGCGGACACCTTTGGTGACATGACATTCATTGATCACTGTCAAGTTCCTCTTGGAACAGGAGAACACATCATTGTTTTTGTCATCCTGGATGGAGCAACAACATTGCTCACTGCAGAGGCAGTGACAACTACGCAAGAAGTCGAGAACATCACTGTCCTCAGGAACTATTTTGACCAGTACCACTTGCAGCCCAAATCAGTTGTCGCAGATCAAGCCTTCATGACAGATACATGGGAACATTTCTATCAGTCCCTTGACATCACTCCGATATCTCTGGGACCAAATACACCATGGCCACATCGAGCTGAAGCAGCAGTTGGACTCCTGAAGGCACAACTCAAGATCATGCTGAGTTCCATCAAAGCAGGCACTGCACCTGCAACACTGAAGAAAGTGACCTATAGGCAACCGGTGAAGGCCGCTGCAACTGTCAGGAATCAGACCGTCACCTACGGGGGAGCAACACCATTGGAGCTCGCATTCGGAAGCAACTCGATGTCGCAACTCCAACTCAGTTGACGATTGACAGGAATGAGGAAGAGATGACAGCCATCCAGATAAAGCAGCTGTCAAAGCAAGCTTTCCAAGAAGCACGTCAATCCGAGGACATCCGACGAGACCTTGCTCCAAATCTCCGAATGAGTTCAAAGCCTCTTCAGGTGAAGGACAAGGTATTTTACTGGCAGGAAGACAAATCCAAGATTCGTTCCGATGGAAGCAAGGGAGGAATATGGCTAAAAGGAAAAGTCATTTCCATTGAAGGAGCAATGGTAGGACTTGATCTTGGGACTCGACTCATCAAGGTTAACATGACGAAGCTCAGGAAGGATGAGACCATCCCTCCGGGGACTGTCAGACATCCGCACAGGATTCGATGTAATGACATCCAAGGGACGACACATGGTCATGGAGATCATCAGGGAACAAGCACCTGATGTCATCCTTATGGCACCGGTCTGTGGACCATGGTCAAATATGCAGAACATCCAGCAAGACCAGCAAAAGGTTGGGGAAAAGCGGAGACGCTACCTTCCCATGGTTGAATTTGTGGCATCCATTGCGCGTTATCAGTTGAAGCACAGAAGATACTTCATTATCGAAAATCCTCAGACATCCAGGATATGGTATCTGAAATGCATGCAGCAATTGTTTTCACACCCATCCGTGACCTGGGCAGATTTCCATTTCTGTGCATACGGACTAAAAGATCCTGAATCCGGGCTCAGAAGTCTCAAGCCCACGAGCTTGATGCACTGTTTACCTTCCGAGGTTATGAGACCGATCTTCAGAAGGTGTAAAAACTTTT